ATTTTACTTTTTAATTGTATATGATACTGTTCTTGAAGGTTTAGTTTTATGTCTTAAATGGTTTTAATATTTACTTTTACAAGTTTTGTTTAATAAAATAAAAATGAAGATTAAATGAAAGTTTTAGTTTAATAACCATCTTATAAAATGTACTTAAATGTATTTTTTTTTTTTTTTTAATTGGACAAATTTCTTTGTATGTAATTACTGATAGCAATTAATTTATTAAATAAAATTATACGCATTAAATTTTTATTTTTATGGAATTTCTCACATCACGTACATAAATGTATTAAATTATATATTATTAAAGTGATTTATAATATTTTATATTATTTACTATTTAATACTATAAAAACACGAACAATTATTTTATTACAGTTTATAATTATGTAAAAATTTTAACTTTATAAATTGTGATTAATTAATATTTAAATTTTTTAAGTTATAATCAATATTCTATCTTCCATCATAATTAATTTTTCTCGCTGTAGACATTGGTTTTGTATATGAGTTTACAAAGACTTAAGATTATTTGATTTAGTGCTTAATATGTAATACCTATATAAATATCATAAAGTTAATACTTATTTTTAAGTTTTATTTATGTTGTTTAACATTGTCGTACAAACCAAAATTTTTCAAAAAAATATATCTATTAAAAATATAGATATAGCCACAGTTTTTTATTTGTTAATGCTTATTGTAATTTTAGTATTTATTTAAATAATTAAATGCATAGTGTTTATTGGTTTAAATGAGAAAGTTAATTTTGTATTAGCTATTAATTTAAAAAATACGAATCGTATGCATTTTAAACAATCTTGAAAGTTAACATGGAGATAAAATAAATATGTATATACAATTTAATATCTGCGTAGGTATCTATATTATTTTTAAACTATTACAAATAATTATTATCTCTCATAGTTCAATGTATGAATGATTATCATATTATTATTATTTATTACAATTAGGTATTTTAGATCTTTAAAATAGAGATGAATTTATTAATTCTAATTTTATACAACGATGTATGTTTTTCAATTTAAACAAAATAAAATATGTATCTGAACGTTACTACATTTTAAGAAAGTAATAATGTTTCATAATTTAACTTTAATAATGCTTTATAGGAGAAAATTTCATCTAATTAGCATTTTTGCAGGGAAGAGTATAAATATATTAAATAGTTCCAGTACATTTTAAAATTATCAAAAAAAATTGATAAAATTTGATTATATTTAAGCGTGAAATAACAGTTTTGTTGTAATTTAAAAATAATGATTGTTGTAAGAATTAAAAATACTTCACTGTTATTAAAATAAAAATTTTCTATACACATTGAAAATTTCGAAATATTTAGACTAATTTTAAGCTACATATAAATGTATTTGAAAATCAAGAATTGTTTTTATATAAATGCTAGTAAAAAATATTAAGATTTGTCAAAATTTTAAAAATGTATTACACAGTTCTTCAAAAATTAAGCTTTTAACGTTTTAAAAATATAAAAGTTACTATGTAGGTAGTCAAAATTTTGTTTTATACTAAATTTTATTTTACATCTACTATTATTATTATATTATGATTAAAAATAATATTAACCATTGGGATTCGAAACTTTTTGCAATAATTATAAACATTAGGTATTTATTTTTTTATGTATCCAATGAAATATTCCAAATATTTGAACTAATTTAAAGTTATAACCATAACACTTTTCATACTGATATATATATATTAGAGAAGTTCAAAAATTTTAATTTTAGATTTTTTTAACTAGCACACTTTTATTTTGTTAAGAGATACAAAATAATGATTCTGTAAAAATTTAGATTTGATAACTTAAATCCTTCCCATTATAATGATTATTATATAATATATACGATGTTTTTGTACAAATTTCTTCAATGGTGTACTTCAATTTACCAAATAAAAAGTAGAAAAATAAATTAGTAACATAAATAAATTATGAAATATCATTAGACATAAAGGTTAAAAAACTGTTTTCGTTGAAAAAGTTTTTCATGTACAATGATTTATCATTGAATTCAAATTTAACATTTTAAAATATCCATTCACTCAATGGAAATGTCTATAGTATAGGTTTTGAGCTTAAAAACTTTCCATTTTTCAGTGTGATTTCTCTGGATGTTTTTTTTTTGTTACATTTTATCATAATATAGAATAATAGATATTTTTGTTATTTTGCATAAAAATAGAATTTAAAAATGTATGCTTATGTAGATAAGTCAAATCTACGTAAATGTAAAATATTGTTTTTACAGGACATGAGTACCTATATCGTGTTGAATCATTATTAAGATATAATTATTATTTACTATTTGTAAGTTAAGATATCAAAATAATCATATTAAATATTTATAATACTTTGAGGTTTAATTATAGGTACTTACAGTAATTTGTTTAGATTGGATAATTTAAAAACCACAATAGAATTTGATTCGTTGTTAAATAATATAATTTAATTGATGATAATAATTAATTTGAAGTAATTTTATTGGTTGAATTGTAAGAGTTACACCTTTATACTTTTATGTATATAACAAACGTACGCAATTAAACCAAATATTTTTAATGTTTTAAGAACTATAGCTTTAAAATATAATGCACAATGAAACTTAGAAAATGGCGAGAACTTTGAATGATAAAATTGTATTCAAGTGATATCATTGTAAACATAAAACATAAATTCCTTGTTAATGCAAATTAATTTAATCTTTATGAGTAGAATAAAAAATAAATTAATTTGCATACAAATCTTAGACCTTGTAACAGTAGCAACTTTGTTTACTTAAGATTTCAATCATAGAAAATTAACTTTTCTAACGAGTATTACAGTTTCAGTTTATATATATATATTCAATATATACCATTTTTATTTAGTTTTTCAAAAATTATCCATAGTGTATACTGACTAATTTTAACTTAAATTGTTTTATATAAAACTTAAAAATATATATTTATGCATGCTTTTATTACAACAATATAAAAATATAATTTTAAAAATATTTTATTATTTAATAAACATAAACAATGACAGTTGGCAAAACAATTGGAGAGATGGTTCTGTTGTAATAATTATTATACCTATTTGTATATTATAATATTTGTATCATTTATTTATATTTTACATTTTGAGTAAATTCCAAATTATTGTATAATGATGTGATTAGGTTCGCGGTTTAAACAAACAATAGCTTAAAATTATTAATCTAAATATTTTGATGACATATAATTGTACATATTGTATAGTAAAATATAATAATATAATATGTGACATTTCAAGTCCTAATAATTTTTTATTTTTTTTGTTAGAATAAAAGAACTAGAATTGATTGATGATAAATAGTTATTATATGTTTAATAATCCAATGTCATCAAAATTTTAATTTCTAATCACTCATATAAAATGATGGATAACTAAACTTTTTATTTTTATTCCAGTTAATAAACTCATGAGGAATAATGTATCATATTTTTGAAACTTGGGTTATAAAATTAGATAATTGAATATTTAGAAAAATACTGGGAATATTATTTTTTTCAACCTCTTTAAGTGGTTATTTAGATACAACTTTTACCAGAAACCACTTCAAAATTTTATCATTTTTTTCTATTATAAAAAATATTTTTAGACACACAAAAAATCAATATAAAAATACACATAATTGTAAAACCAATATATTTATTGCTTTATACTGAATTAAAAAAACAATAATTAATTATAGTTACATTTTAATTTAATTGGACGAGTTCTAAATTATATTTGAAAAAATAAGATTTGCCCTGATAAAAATAAAATCAGATAAGATAGTATATGCTGTAAACTTGGACGTATACAAAAACATATTGTGTTCATGGAAGTTTTTAAGCTAAACAACTGTGTAATAAATGTCAAAATTGTATTGAAAATAAAATGAAAATCCTCTCCAAACGTGTCCAAAGACTCACGGATTAGGGAAGTTGTAACTTCGTAAGACATAGTTACTTTATTTTATACAAGTTAACCAATTTACATAATACCTTAGCAGAGGAAATTAAAATAATACATCGTTACATACTTATTTTAACAAACAAATAATTAACTGTCATCACATTATTTTTGTGTACACCAAACTATTATTTATCACCCCTGTTGTTCACAAAACCGTGACATATTAATGCGTAGATGAGTAGATAATAACTGTCTTATACTATTATATAATATAATTAAATTAAGGGCTATATTAATTTAATTTATAATTAAAATATTATTTGTATTCACAGCAAAGACTTTGGACGAATGTTATGTATATACTTAAACCTAATAAAACTTGTCGTTACGTGATTATAACTTTAAGCTTAGTGTCACAGTGACACTAATGTTATGTGTTTCTTAAAAGTTTGATATTATGTTAAATTATGAGATAAAGTACTATAAATAAGTATAAAAACAAAGAAAAATAAATACATAGATAAATAAGTAATAATAAGATGATCGGATTTCGATAAATAAAATAATTATCACTTACACTAGACTATAATTATTAACATAGACATTTTTATGTTTCTAGTTTTTTTTTTTTTTTTTTTTTTTTTTTTTTTTTTTTTTTTTTTTTTTTGATAATTACCTACCTAATTTTTGATGTCTACTAATTTAATAATTAATAAATATAATAATTTCTCCAAAACCAAAATAATTCCTTCAAACCCAAGAAATAATTAAATATATATCATTAACATATTTAAATTTGGTTTTTACTAATGATTTTAAACATAAATATTATAACCTATACTTATGGTACAGATATAAATATCTAGTAGTTATAGAATTAATTATAATTTTTATTTATGTTTTGAAAAGTAATAACACTATTGAATATTATTAAAAAACTCAAACGCTATTTGCTGCTATTGTGTTATCAATTATAAAAATAAACACATTTTCAATTATATAAATTCATTATTGTTATAACTTGATATTTTTATTTTAGGCAGGTAATATGTATCGACGACACGAGTCGCTCATCAGTCAGGTGACCAAAACGGCAGATGACGTGCCTATGATCGTGACTAGATTGGCGAGCACGGAAAAGAATGACATTGATTACTATCCATTTTCACAAGTACTGCGAATACGTGTTCTACAGGTAATATTCAAGGATTTGGTTATATATAAAAGAGGGATGTTTATACGGGGGTTAATATAAAATCCTTTTATTGATCATACATGGAAACGAATGTAATTTATATACGCAGATGATGTGTGTGTGTGTGTGTCGAAGATTATCACGAGTGATGGCTCGTAATTCGATATAAAAGGGTTTTAAATCAGGGAATTGAATCATTGAAATGAAATTAATTTATCGCAAAAACAAATTCAGGTTTAAAATATTAGTATGTTTTGCGTACTTTTTTAGTACAACAAGCAATATTAAATATTCACTGTTAAACATATCTTTTTATACACGTATTACATGATAATTTCTGTAATATTCTATAAATATTTGTTAACGCGAAGAAATTAATTTTTGTTAAACAAAAATGACAAGGATTAATTTGAGTAATACACTATTTTTCTATAAGAAAAACTATTATATTGTGTGTTCTAAAAGTTTCATTTGATGCTAAGTGACTTAAGTACCTCTGTGAGATCACGATACATAAAAATTTTTAAATGATATTTTTTCACCAGTAATTTTAAAGAAAATTTCAACTTAATGACATAGATTTTATTATAATCGAAATACTGAAAAAAAATATATTTATATATATTTAAGCATATTAATTTTAATAATATTAAGATCGATAAAGATTTTTAATTTTTTAATACATAGCAATAACAACAACTAATATTAGTAATAATGATTATATAAATGTTTATATAGAAATGTTGCGTAGTATCGACCGCTATCATGTCAATGTATTTTTTTGTGTAAATAAATGAAAATAATAAAATAAAGTGTTACAAAAAATGTTCATCTTGGTTGTATTTGATAAAGTCGTCCAAATATTTAATGAAATTTCCATTTAACCAAAGAAAAATATTAGCTGTGTAAATTTTATTTTGAGAATGTTATTATTGGTACTTTCTCTATTGTTTTGGTTATTTGCTTGAATTTCGTTTCTTTATTATTTTTCCCACATATGTTGTGCCACCTTTTTAAGCCATCTATTTCTTTTTTTCCTTTTAAATGATAGAAAATATTATGTTTATTGATCATTTATTTTAATACAAAAATATTTTTACAAAATCCAATAATCAAAATAAAATATGGGTAAGTGGTTACCGCTCTACTGTAGATTGCTAAATTTGAATTCAATGATAAACCTATATCATTGTATATAAAAAGTGATTTCGAGCGAAGACGGTTCATCACACTATATCACTATTCACCATGTTTGTTTCATAATATGTTTTTGATATTGTTATTATAGTAATATTTTCTTACTAATGATATTACAGTAAAATAATTTTTTATAAAAAATTTTAATTTAATATAATGAAATATATTTTTATGATTATAAATTAAATTTACTTTTTTATGTCAAGATTGGACTAGATTTTACAATATAGTACCAGGTAAATCACTTGAGCTAGTATGTAAACACAAATTTTCATATTAAGTTTGAAAGCAATTGTTATAGCAATCTATGATAGATTATTTTTAAGCTACTTTGATAGTTTTTATTTATTATTCTGTAATTGTTTAAGACATTAAGAAAAGAATATTTCCAATCTATTGATTTTAAATGATATTTGTTCATCTGAGAAAAAACGATTCACAGAGTAATATGATAATTGTTTTTAAAGTTTTATGTAGCACATTGTTTAATAGGAACGTAAATTTTAAATGTTATTTAGAAATTCGACTTCGTCCAAATAACAATCACTTTTTGAAAGTTTTCTAACAAAAAGACAAAACTGGTTTTTCAAGGAATTGTTTTCCAATGCGATTACAAATTATAGTTAGCATTTATAATAAAAAATTATTATTCAGTATAAGTCAATACATAGTTAAAGTAAATAAGGATGCCAATATATTAAATAGCTACGGCCCTAATAATTGATAATATGTTTATTTAAGGAGCAGTAATAAACGTACTTATATACAGTACAGAATTTTCTGATTTTAAAATACGTTTAAACGTTATTAAAATAATTTATATTTATTTAATAAAACTTAAATGACTCTGATCCACTTGACGTTAAAACTACATAAATGATAAAATAAAATGTAAAATATATTAATTACTCACTTACTTTAAATATAAACTGAGTGAATAAAATATATTATTTATTTGGATTAATAAAATTGTTTAAAAATAGTAAACTTATGGTTTAAAAATTATAGAACTTATTATAATACAGAATCATGTATTTTTTCTATTTACTCATCTCATTTGTGCAGCGATAAGGTGTTTCAACCTTAGATATGATAACTAGTTAGTAGTTATTATGTTTATAACATCAATTAGCATTATTGTTAAACACGTGTAAGTATTAAGCAACGATAAATCTTTTGAAAACAATTCTTTAAAACTACGCTTTCTAATATTTTATTTACATTTTTCAAAATAAACTGTATAGTTGGTAGTTTGTAGTTTTTTATTACTCTAAAAGAAAAAATAGAAAAGATAGAAGAATAACATCTTTAAAATAGCATACTAAATAGAAGATTTATTGTATTAAATAAACATTTTTTTAGACAATTATCTAAAATAATATGTGACTTTTATAACGATTTTCCTATCCAGAAAAATTGCAGTGTTTTAATAATATTTTTAAGCTGAAAAATGATCATATATAGGCATAGACCTTATACGTATAAGGAGTATAAGGTCTATGTATATAGGTATTACTAATAATTTTACTTTAAGCATTAGACTTGTAAATAAATAAGTATGTAATTGTTGTAAATTATATGGCTCATCTATAAGCTTTTGAGTAATATGTTTTTACGGTATATTATGTAAGTAGCTTTTTCGTAATTGTTTTCGATTTACGAATTTGTCTATAACAGTTTAATCACGTACATATTACTACTTAGAAACTTGTTTTGAACTTTGATAATACATTCCGTGCTACTTTTAAGTTATGAAACGCGTTTGTATTCTATTGATCGAGTAATAATTCTAGTTTAAACTGTTTAGATTAGTGATTAAGTGTAATGAGATGTTGGCGGTTTATTATTATAAAATGAAAAATTAAGTTTTATTGTTAAACACTACTCCATTATCAAAAAACTAAGTTATTATTTGAAAATATGGTTGAATAATGACTTGTTTGATTACTTATATATTATATAATTAATAATGTTTTCATATTTTATTTTTGTAAATGTTTTTAATAAGTATGCTTTGCCAAATAATAGCAATAAAATACCTTTCATTAATAATAAAAGTATATTATGTGTAACATAATATATTGTAGTTATTCTTTAGTTAGATGACAATGTTTGTATTATAATTCATTTTTTATATCAAAGTAACATTTTAGTTTAATTTATTATTTAAGATGATTTGATGTTCAAAAAAATATTTATCGTTCATTCAAGCCAATAAAATTCAATGCGGAGGTGAATATATTTAGTAAATTGTATAAAAAGTACAATTTAAAAAATTGAATCTATAAATATTTATGAATATTAGAATACCGTATACAATAGAATCTTATTAAATATTAATATTAAACATTTTATAAGTAAATAAAAATATTTTAATACTTAGTTACATACTATAATGTTAGAAAATAAATGTTTACATATATTTTTAATTATAGCCTATAAATTATATGTATATATATATATAAAACAATTATGCTTATATTTTATTTTATAAGTCTCTATTCATGTATAACATAAATAAAATGTATTTTTTATCATTTATATGTTTTTTAATATGACTATTAAAGTCATTTATTTTACTTTTGTGCTATTACGGTATATTGATATGATTTTTTTCATGGATAATATAGTACTTAATTATTATGATCATAAACATTAATATCATATTATATACATTAATATAACTTAAAACTTTATTTTATTTTTCTGTAAATACCGTAAAACAGCAAAAATAAAGTATAAATAGATAATACTTTAAAATAAACCAAAAATGTTATTGTGAATAGCAAAATTCATAGGTAATATTCGTAAAAGTTTCTAAGGTATCACAATCAATTTTTTATGTATTTCTGATTACAAAATCAATTGTATTTTTTGAAATTTTCAAAAATGTTGTTAAAATTTTAATTTTAAATGCTTTTTAAAAAATAATGTAGTAGCTTATTTTTTTCTCGTGTAACACAAAATCATAATAATTCTGAAATTACATTCTTATACAAATTTTTTTTTAATAATTTAATCTAACTTAATTTAAAACAATTATTCAAATATAATTTTGAAAAAAAAAGGTTTGTGTGAGGATATAATTTAGAATTATTTTGATTTTATGTTATACGGGAAAAAATGAGCTTGATTTGGATATTTTCTCTTAAACTCTTTTAATCTCTCAACTAAAATGAATATATAAATATATACTATTTATTGTGACTATTTTTTTTTTTTTTTAGTTGAGAAAAAAACCACTTATTAGGTGCCTTTTATTAAATTTTCAAGCTGTTTTATCCATTCATAATTTTTTTATTATAAAAATAATAATTAAAAGTTTAAATTTATCTTGAAAAATATTCGTTGTATAGATAATTATTTAGAGAATTTCAAGTTTTTGTGGTTATTTGTGTTTGAATTAAAACAAGATAAAGAAATCTTCATACATTTTGGTATAGTCTGATATAGCGTAAAAGTTCGGGTTTTTTTCTAATTTTTCGTTAGTTTTTCCCGATAATAATAATAATAAAAAAATTACAGTTCATTTTTAATTTTTACCTGTTTAAAGTACAAACAATATACAATTTTTTTTTAAAACACCCTTAAAAGTAGATAATCGATGTATTAAATTAAACACTCACACACATATCATTGTAAAATCAATACATTCATCGTTCCGCTTAGAATCTAAAATGGGCGAGAGCATACTTGACAAATCATTTTGCGTTTAATATATTGTGTTTAACACCAAAATAATGTTATAGTTAATTATGAAAATAGTATTTTCGGAGAAAATTTTGTACATCATAGTCATTTACAGCGGTATTGATAAAATTAATTTAAATATTTTATTTGCGACACATTGTCTGTAACATTAAAAACACGCAGAAGGTTTTTTTTTAAACGATTAAATACATATCAAAATAACAGTGACCTTTTTATTTGTTTATAGAACGCGTAGGTTGACGAAACCATTTGTAATCAATAACCGGTCCGAAATCCGACCATTTTTGGACTTCTGAGTCCGAATCCAATGGAGTAATTGCTTTTCGGATAACGTTTTTCTTTTTCCACTTTCTTGTTGAATAAATATGTACATACGAAACTCTTACTACCCGTTGCAAATATTTGAACACTAGCTTATATTGACTTGTTGTTGTTGTCGATTTCAGTCAGTTTAATGTACCGAATGAACGCTTTTACATTCATTGAGAAGTTCAACAAAAGTATCTTAAAACGATGATAACCGTGTTATATTTCGTTGTTAAATGTAATTTATTAATAATTATCATTATCGGTCGTTTTTATGCTTTGCCCGCAGATCGTTTGTGGTATACTTGCAGTCGTCATGGGCAGCGTAGCTTGCATAGAAGAGAAAGGTTCATTTGGCAACCTCGGGCTGGGCATACCGACCGGACTCAGTACCGTACTCGCTGCAGGTATGTATGGTTATGACAGTAGGTGTTATAAACATCTTATTAAACTATATAGATCATTCTATTTTCCTCAAATAAAATATATACAAGTATACATGTATTACAGTCCAATATTGTTTCGTCTATGAATGTGATTAAATATAATCCTAATATTACTATACATGCAAAAATAATGGGTTTAGAAGAAAGTTCTTAGTTATAGGTGTAAATTTTAGCCTCATAGGTACAATGCACCTGGTACATATACTATAGTATTTATTGATTTTTTATTTCAACTAGTATTTATATATTATAAACAGGATTTGTATTTGAAAAAAAAATTTATATGTTATTTACAATTAAAATGTTTTACAAATTTTCAGTTAATCGTTATTCAGAATTTAAAGGTTATTAAACTTTTGCGTTTATCCTTATTCAGAATTAAAATTTTTAATATATTTTAAAGTAAAGTTTATAACTATTAAATAATTGGAAATTAAATATTTCTTTTAATGATTTACTATATATAACGTTTTGCGTTGTTTTGTTGGATGATATATCATATATTTTATTAATCGTTATGTTTTGTTTTGTGTTATTTAATTACCTATTTATGTTTATCGTTTTCCGTTATAATTACGTTTTTAAATTTCAATATATTTTTGATAAATATAACTTTATTATAACGTTTGCAAGCCTTGATTATAAATTTATAATAATGGATAACAACTTTCAGTTAAATATGAAGCAAATAAAATATAAACACAGAGATTTTTCGTAATGTATACCATTTTAAAACTCAAATTGACTATGATATAATTTTGCATTTTGATTAAAGAAATGTAAGAATTATCTACAATACTAAAAAAAAGAAAAAAAATCGATTAAAATAAAAAGATAAGTAGGTATGCAGATTATATATCGATATTATTAATAGTACTTATTAATAAATGTTAATGTCTGGAATTTAAACTTAAATAAATAAAATATTTTATCATAAAAGCGAATTAATACAAAATTGTAAAACATATATATATATATTATGTGTTTGCCTGTTTAGATAATTATATTTAAAATATAATTATAAATATAATTATATTTATAATGAATGATAAGAATAATTTTGATTTCGCGAAAGTGTGTCTATTTTATTATAGGTTGTTGGTATCCACCTATTATGTCGATTCAACTAAATATTTTGTAATTTATTTTTCGTGCTTATTAGTTAATGATATTAAATATAATGGATTTATTAAATTATTTATTTTTCAATTTTAATTTCTATTAAAAAATCACTGTGCGCAGATTTACAGAAATTCAAGTATGGATTTAAAATTATTCACATGTCAGCGTAAGGATTTTAGTATTAAGTGTTTTATGTCGAATGAAAAACAGTAAGCGTATATGCATGCATGGATAACCGTTTAATTATTTGAAAGTAACAATGCTTTTTGAAGAGCAAGAATATTATAATTCAGTCATTATCTTTAGGTTTAAACTGTAACAGTAATATAAATCAACTACGTATAGTAATAATAAGTACAATGTGAAATAGTATCATTATAATATATTTATATTTTATCAATATTTTATAAATTAATGTAATATTATTCTAGTGCTGTGGTTTTAGTAATAATTAACAACTATTGCATATCTTAAAAAAAAACAAGTAATATCTTATAAAATAAAATTAGACAATATACTTTTTTTTTTTTATTTAATGAAAAAATATGTGATTTACGAATTAACATCATATTTTTGAAGAAGGATTCGTGATATAGAGAAACCCGTAAAACTAAAGTGTACCAACATAATATATTAAAGAGTTCAAACGCGAAGTAGTTTTACCCTTTTCATAAAATATATGAGTGAAATCGCATCATCGATTATAGAGCGTGGTCAGTTGAATGTATCAATGTCACGTTTTTTGGTTGTTGAGTGTGTGCAGTTAGATACATGAAATACCGCACAGATTAAAATAAGAAGAAAAAAGATAGAAAAAAAATGGATGAATTTTAACAAGTGCAGGCAGCACTTTTAAAATAGGCAAGTATGGGTTTTGACTCAAAACTGATCATTTTCCAAATAGAGTATATAGTTTAAATAATATTATCTCAAAATAGTGTCAGAATTTGTAAAAGTTTTAAACATCTTGCAAATCTTATGTATAGTGTGACGAAATAGGTGATAGTAATGAACATAAAAATTTCGAAGCCTTTACACAATTTCGAGCAACTACACAAGTTAAAGCTAATGATAAAAATAGCACAAAACTAGATAATATTCCAACGTTCTTTGAGCAATATGAAGAATAATTATCGTTCTACAATATATCTATACAATAAATGAACAAAACTTAAATACTATACAAAAGTTTTTTATTTTAAGTCGTTACCGATAATACGAAGGATAGTATAAAACTTTTAGAAACAATAACAGCAATAAACTATACGAAGTGGCATGGTCCAGTTTATTTACATACAACAACAATAAGAAAGTTTTATTGTATAAATTTATGTTAAAATATTGTTGACTTATCGTCATTGAAAGACGAATCAGCAGTAAAATTACATAACAATTCCATATTGTTAGATTCTACTTCAATGAATGCTTTTATAACGGCTAAACTTGTTTAAAAAAATATATATATAAAAATCATAATATTATAAATAAAATTGGCAAAATCTCTCAAAAACTTGAAAAAGAAACATGATTTAAGATTCACTTGTACAAAAACCATTTTGAATTGATGCATAATTATTGGTGGCAGGCACCAAAAATAACAGGTAAAGTAATCTTTTATTAAATTTATTTATGGAAAATAGTCTACTAGCGAAAAATATTGTTCTAACGAATCCATCATTAAATACCCTACAACAATTGAAAAATTGATCAATACACTTTTTTGTTATAATTGTAATTCAAAATTGTTTATCAATAAGCGGACTTATATATTTAAATTAAAAAAAATTATGCATTTGGTAATCTAGTAAATTTAATCGATCAGATGAATGTACTGGATCGATTTTTTATACTGTTCAAGAGAAAGCGAGTTGAATATCTTAATACAGTACGTTAAGATGAAGGTGGTCTCTTTACAGTAAAATTGCCATTTCGAAAATATGTGTCACAGTTGAGGTAATCTTATGATATTGCGAAACGTTGACTTTTGTAAGTAGAGTGAAGGTTTGAAAAAAGTCCACTGTTAAAAATAGAATACGTGAAGTTTATGCTTGAATACGCAGATACTACATAAGCTCTCGAAAAATTGACGTACTCAGAAAAATGTGTTATCTGGCATACCATTATGTGTATTATATCTAAGCAGTATTACTACAAAATTACATGTCGTATTTGACGCTTAAACTAATACCGAAACAGCATAAGTCTAAATAATGTCCTTCTAAGGGGAATGATTATCTGAGACAATTTAAATATTTTTAATAGATACTTGGATTCCATACACATAGTTTTGTAGTTTCCGTACAGAAAAAACATGTATCGTTAAATAAATGTTGTTGAAAATGATTGGGGAAATCTTTTAGAGTATTTTTTTATGGCGAAAAGATAGTATTTCAAAAATTAAAACATATACTTTAAATACAATCACTTGACTCGCTCAATTTACAGTCCAGATTTTTATTTGGAAATTGAATTCTAACAAAAATTATCTAAAATCAAATATAAATAATATTCTAGAGTCATCATTACTATTTCTCATAATTTTTGTATAGATTATTATTATTATTATATCATTTTTACATAATGCTTATACGAAAGACCCAAAACTATTAAATTAACCAACAATTTGTTATAAATCATGGCAACGGCTGGTATAGAACTTAAAAAATAGTTTGCAAATGATTAAGTATCCTCAAAGATATATATAAAAAAAAAAAATAATAAAACAAAGTAATTACTTGAAATAAATGATACAAAATATTAGGTTTGAATATGCAATTATTTCGTATTCAAAATCCATATGAAAAATGATACTCTACCATTATTTACAACCAAACATGATAAATTGTCGGATATCGAACGTATTTTTGAGCCCCTAAGTTAGGTTAGGTTCCGGTAGTAATTTGTGAAAAATAACGTTACAAGGATTTTTGAGAGCTTAGGTAAAAAGAAATAAATCTGTATATGAAAAATATAACGTGAGTAACAACGTACAATACTAATTTTTTTGATGTTAAATATTTAACTTCATACCACTGTCAACAACAATTAAAAGCGAAATATACTACATAAACATTAAAGGTTTCGTAAATGCTAGCAAAAAGGCATATATTTGCTGTTCATACCTGAAATGTTCAGAATAAGCTGGAAATAGTTATTTAAATTTAGTATGCGCCAAATTCAAAGTTACTTTAATGAAGATCATGTCATTATCCCGATTGGAATTATATTGACAGTTATTACTATGCATTGTTTGACACAAATCGCTTACAAAATAATATAAAAAAGTAACACTTATGGTTATTTAAGATATATATATATATATATATATTATATGTATATACACATTTGTGATATTTATTGAAAAGTTGTTTTAAGGCGTGTAGAATTTCCTATACAGGCTGATGTTGTAAACTATTGTGTTGATATTGTAAACATTTTGGTATGCGAAATAATAATAATTAAAAAAAATTCTATAATAAACAAAAGAATCACGGTTTTCGTTGTCAAAGAATGAGTCTTATTTCTTATTTAATAGAACCGTATTATAAAAATGAAAAATAGTAATTTTCAGTATAAAAAATGGCATGATAATTATTTATTTTAATTAAATAAGTAATATTCGAATTAACGTCCGGAATAATAGGTTTATTTTACGCATGTCTGACTTGACGATAGAGATTTACCTGAACGGTGATGAAGACAATTGGGAGTAAAGCATATTTTTTTATCATATCCAAGAAAAAAAAATAAAAATGACAAATACTTCACTAAAAAAAGTACCATAATCATTATTAATTACCAATTATTCAATCAAATGTTAATTTGTCAGTTATAAAATT